TTGCGGTTCGCATACAGAATCGGAACGCAACAGTAGTTACTTCCTCTTCTCTTTTCTTCTGAGAAGTTGACCTACTTCAAGTCGACAGATGAATCAAAAGATTGGATACGTGTTACGATACATGTCTTACTTACATATATGTCTTACTGCGCTTTCTATCTCTCTCTTCCTCAAATTTATTTTCACTCATTGTTGTACTTAATAAAGTTTATAAAACCAATTTAAATATAATAAAAAATACCATAAAATTTATGTATTAAATTTATATTTTATTTATATTTGAATTTTAAAAGTTGCATATATTCTGACATATTAATAATGATGCTTAAAGTTAAACTTTCATAACGTCTTCAAAAATCCTCTTCTCCTCTGCTTTTAGCTCTATAGACGGAGGATAGACCTTAGCTTTCTTCGCAATTCGCCATCCGAAGCATTTCTTTCCATGACAGGAGATTTTTACAAGATAGAACCGTCAACCCGTACTCAATATGCGCTTTAGAAAACGGATTTTTCATCTCCAACTTCTATACGAGACATACGGGACGAGAGTCAGGATCGAAATCCGGGATTTATCTACTACTAGTCGGCCCGCGCAAAACTTTACAATGATAAGATCTATTTAAGATTTGATAAACAATAACTTTTTTTCATGTAATTACATTTTCTTTACATTTTCCTTTCGATTTATTTGCATTTCTTTTACATTTCCTTTCGATTCACTTATAATACGAAACTATTAATATAGCTACTATTTTTGTTCTGTTAATTAAACATCAATTCTAAATCAAACAAACCGTCGAATAAAGGATAAAAAATTTAAATAATGTATCTTGAAATATTTTACGTACCAAAAAAATATTTTATATTTATCTTTCTCTCTCTGTTTTAATTTTCACAGCGAATGACAGAAATGATACAGCGCAATAATTAACTTTAGGCAAACATCTTGTCTTCTAACGTCAGCTGCAAGGGATTTAATTCGTTGAAAGTTATCTCAAGTTGCAATTTCTGAGTGTAAGAGCGTAGGAGAAGCTTATGTACATACAAGCGTTATTTCTTTTTCAGACCGTTGGAGACTATTATAAAGTCACCAATAACTCTTCGCCCACCGTATAAGAAAGTTTCTCTAAACACTATGAACCAGATATAATGTTCAAGTACTTTCTTCGACGTGTTCCTCAAGTACTTGAAATCATCCTATCTTTTTGTAACGTAACTGTTACTCTGTAAGATCGGTGTTTTTTACTTGGATGCTTTGCAAGCTGTGCCGATTTATAGAGTGAAAGTCTAAGCTTTCGCACTCGCACGTGTAATCGAAAAGAATATAGACGATACAAAAAAATTGATTTAACGAAGTTCAATCTCGGGGGAATTATCGGATTAAAAAAGTTTCAATATACGAACCGATTGACGTATTTTCATCACTTATTACTGCGCAACCTCTATTTTTTATTTAGAGAGAGAAGAATAACATTCATGTAGAACACATGAAATTTTTATTATCTTGCATGTGATTGATTACAAGTGCAATTTAATATATCATGTATGCATAACAATAAAAATTTATGTCATTTGATGTATAATTTTTTTTGTAAAATAAAACTGTGTTAATTAACATAATGTTATAAGCCATGATTATAAAGGTAAGCTTCAGCACGCAAAAGCATGTTGTAAAGCTGATGTACGAGTTTCGTGTAGGATGTACGGTCGATTTATCGGGGTGAACAAAGTTTTACAGCCCGATTAAAGTCAGCCAAGCCCATTCATCTCATAGAAGACAGGCAGATTTACACAGCATCAAGCTTTAAGCATCAACGCCTTTTTCTTTAAATATCACACAGTAAGTAATAACATTACTTACAATTATTCATTACTTTCGAAAATATTGTAATTATTTTTATGTTATTTTAATCCTGAGTAAAAACGATACAAAAATAATATAAAATAGTAAAACATATGAACAACTAATATTCTTATATAATGAAATATCAATATCAGAGTTATTTTTATATCACGATTATTTTTAGCATGTACTATTTCGAGTATATGACACACACACACACACACACACACGCACGCACGCACACATATGAACTTTCCATCGAAACTTTCTATAAATTACAATAAATAAATCTTTCAAAGAATTATTAATCTAATAATTTTGTTTTAGAAATAAACCATAAATTGGAATGCATCTAGCGTTAACGTAATAGCGATAATTGTCATATTTATGCAACCTATCTGTATTGTATTGTCTTATGAGATTGACATGGTTACATAATCTCATTTACTATATTACAGAGATTCAATATGAGGAATTATGGTGAAATCTGACATGTATGTGTATCGCAATTAAGATACGATATTATATAGTATATATGGTACATAAAATTATACAAGTACATGGTACATGTTATTACAATACATATTATAATGAAATGTGCGCAAATAAAATTTTTAGATCTTTAACATTCTTAAATATTCGCATAACGTGTGTATTTGTAAAAGGTTTGAAGCAAGTGGCCAGAATATTATTCTATTTGTTTATAAAGGAGCAAAGAAAACCAAAATTTTCTCTAGTCCAGAGTTATCCTATATTATGCATTAATAATTCAGACAGGATAATTCATGCAGAGTGATTCGGAACGAAAAATTCTGAATAAAAAATGTCATATGAACATAGGTTTTATTCTCAAAATTTATATAATTATAAAAGTAATAAAATTTTGCTGCTTACAATAAAATGCACATGCTTGATAGAAAGTGAGAAATCAAAGCAAAACAAAAAATGTGAGATATCAGATGTTTATAATGATTTTATTGTGATTATAAATCAGGTCTTTATGATTTTATTATGATTATAATAATTTTACTATGATAGCAGGAATATTTTACAACTTCTGTAATTACGTAAATATTGAGTAGAATTTATTTTCATATAACATTTTTTTTTACTCAAAATAACCTCCCAAAAAATTTGTTTATTTAAATATATTTGTTTATTTTAATATATAAAGTTTATTACACTCGTTCTGAATCATCAATTATTTTAATTATTTCATTCTTATTAATCTCTTTTGCGAACAACTAAATATTAAATATTAAATTTTAGGTTCGCAAATATGTGATTGCACATAGAGAGTCGTTAATATATCGAACTACTAATAATGGAGCTTTTACTGTAATGCGTTTACCTAAATCATTGGTTGAAATACCTGGAGTTGCACGAGCTTATGTAACGTAAATAAATCATGTATTAATTAAACAGTAATCGCATGCGATTACTTATGGATGTTGCGGTTGCGTAGAGATCATTAAACTCGATGATCCGGCTTTCACGCATCGCCCTGAGTGCGAATAATCACTGCGATTCAATCAACGCAATTATTAGATATTAGTGCAAATTTAGCGCGATTCTATGACACATGAGCGATTTACATAAAATCATTATAATATCTTACAGCATCGATATAAATAAATTACGTCGGACATAATAAGGGTCTATTCAAATATTATTTTTTCTCTTTGAAGATAAACATGTAATAAAGACATGTATTTCTCTTAATTTTTTTTTGTACTATATCAATAGCTGTTTAAGAGAGATTATAACTCTCTCTTTTCCTCTATTTAGCATGTACATAGAGTTCTTTATTAGTTAGTAAACTACATAGTACCACAACTCTGCACATTTTCCATGAATGTACTTGAAACTTTCTTCGTGACAACCGAGCTTCTCATCTCAGTGGCTTACTTCGGGGCTTTCGGTTATATCCGACAACCTGATTACCACAACAATACGGAACTTTCTATGTTGAGAATACAAGAGGTACGAATTAAGTATAACATCAAGTTGGTTGTAGTTCGATCGATCGATTCAAGAGAACTCTCGAATTATTTTACGTCATCGAACCAATAAATGATTGCGTGTACAGTAATAAAAATATTGTATAATGTATTAAAATGCATCTTATTGCACGCGCAAGAAAAATCATAATTTTAATTGTTTTTAATTTATAATTACAATTACCTAATTATAGAATGATTTTTTATGCAGATTGATTTTCCATCAGAAGACAAATGAGTATGAATAATTATTTATGTTTATTTATTTATTTTTCGACGTAATATTTTAAAATAAATAGGACACGATTTTTCTTTAAATATTGTGGAATTGCATTTCCATCGGTGAAAAGTAATGGTGAACTCTTTTCGTACGATGAAACTCTTAAAAGATAGACGCAATCGCATGCCGTAAACGAATCTTATTACCGCGCTAAGATGGAATCCGGATTAGTTACGACTTGCTGTGATTCGCTCCAAGTTCTGCTCAATCGACTCGCGAAATATGTATGTACTGCTTGTCACGTTCACCTATAAGCGTGCATATATTTTAACCATCAAACAACATCGTTTTCGATTTTGACAAGAAAAATTTTTCTTTGCATCTATAATAAAATTGAATAAATCTAAAAATAATAAATCTGAAAATTTAATTAGATGTCACGTTGTATAGAATAATTGACAGATGAGAAAAAGCTGGGGGAAACTTTTTTAACACCATATTATGAAAATAAATTGCAGCATAGATCATGATAATGGATTCAATCTAGTGTTCTCTTTCTTTATAAAGATTTAATTGTTCAATCAAACAAATAAGGTAAATTTATGTTTTACGCCTTTATTACTGCCATTACATGGTATTTTGATGTTAGATATTATGAGTATTTATGACAATAAATATTTGTGTATTTTTTCGAACTAACATAACAATAATTAACAAAAGATTATTGATCACAAGATTGACAGCTTTATTTTTAAAAATTTTTCTTTGTCGAGATTCTGTACATTAAACTTTTAACTTAATTCAACAAGATCCCTTACAATTTTCAGGACAAATAAAATTACAAATAACAGAAAGAATCTTTATTACAGGAATATGTTTTACAAGAAAGAACTTGGAGACTATAAAAAAGTATGTCATATATATGTGTTTTACGAAATTTTTTAGAAATGCGTTCTCCCAAACTAAACGCAAAATATACGACGTATTTTTGAGCATCTTTTTATAGTAAAACTTATATTCCTAAATTATATTTACTTAATAATTGTTCCAAATATTTTTCAGATTTTAAACTGATTTTCTCACGCTTCATCTTTATCAAAAAAAGTAGGATTTTCGCGAAGGCTCTGCGATTTGTATAAATTTGACGAATTTTTCCTTAAATTATCGTCGCTTGTAGAATTCTTGCAAATAACGTTAGATCTGGATCTGGTAGGGATGCTAATCACTTCAGTCAACTGCATCGCCGTCGCGAATCTCAACTCCTGAAATCATCAATTGATAATATATATATATATATATATATATCATGGACCGCAAAATGCTTGCGTTGACATATACGCAAAGTGCGCAATCCATAATTTGTGCGAGTGAGCGTCAACGTCGAGACGGACGTCCGGCATAATTGAATCAATTCGCGTGACGCAGCTTTGGTTCCGAGCCAATTTAATTGCCCGCGCTGTCACACACAGTCCGATTTCGCGCATGCTATTCGCGAAAATTGAAAATATCGCTCAAAGGTACGATCCTTGTCGCAGTGGTTCTTCAAATTTCGCGCAGAGAACAGTTATGCCATTTAACTTCCAGCAGTTTTATTCCAGAGGTAAAATTTACTAGTTGCCATTTAATCTTCAAATCCTTATATTTTCTATAAATTGTATCCGCGGGTAACGATTTTAAATTTGTAGCAGTGCAAAATTCTGTTCTATTCAAAATATAAAATATTATGTAACCTTATATAACACAGATTATGTAATCTTATATAACACTTTATACATATATAAAGCATTTTATATAAAGCTCTTATATAAAGCAGAATTCAAAATTTTTTTGATAAAATATAATAAAATATAAATTGATATTTTCTTTTCTTTTTTGATCTAGCAGCAATATTTTTAATACATTTAAGTTATTAATCAATAAATATTAATAAAGTAAATTTTTTCAGCTTTTCTTCATGATTATATTCGGATGTTTAAATATATTTTTATTTAATCAAAAAATTTATTTATTAATCTAAAAACTTAATTCTCTAAAATAGTATTGTTTAATTTTCGATTTTACCTTCTAATAACATAATCTGAGATATGAATAAAAAATTATAAATAAAAAAGATTATACCAATAAATTCGCAGAAATAGAATATATTTATAATTTATTATTGAGATCCAATTTATAAATATATTTTGTATATGTGTTATAAATGTGATACGAAATTTTAATTTTTTTCTTTGTAAATATGAGTTTTTGACTATTTAAAACGACTCTTTATTTTAACCCAAATTAGAAACGAGATTGAATAGGAAGTTACTGCACCTGTAACTGACATCGAAAATTCACTGAGCGTTATGGAGAAGTATGTAATAGTTGGCGTAAACATGTATTTAACCATATATGCTTGTCATGTGAGCATCATGTAGCATAATAATTATGTACATGTATCGAAATAGAGATAATACAACATTTACTACGCATGACTGGCAAAGCCTGCCATAACGTAATGGGTAAACTCAAACGCGCGCTAATTGTGCAACGTTGCATTTATATGTGGTGTTCTATTTATGTACACTTTGTGCGATTCAAATAAGATATGTGTACCAGTTAGATTTTGTCTACTTCAAAGGAGGTAACATTAATTTAAACGATCAAGAAATACATTAGAAATTTTGTATGAGAGTGTGTTGTGCGTCTATAAAACTCATATAACTTAATTATAAGACATTACAAGACACAATGTTCTAATTACATATTTTTTTATGTTTAATTTTCGCGAATAATTCAAAATTAACCGCGTCAATGAACAGCTTTATGGTCTTTCTATACATAGAGGAACAAAATTATCACCCGATACTCTCATCGGTTTAGTGCTGTCTCAGTTGCATTGCATCCAATTGCAGTAGCAATCGCATTGCAGACTGCATCGATAGCAAGCGATCGAATGTAGTTCGTTGTAATCCGATCCCGAGACAGCTCGATGCGAAGCATCAATTTAATTGACCACGTCATTATGCGACATCCAGCATGATATTATCAGCTCTAACTGAAAGAGCGCGAGAAGAGTTGTTTGATAAATCGATAATGTAAATGTTCTATTTCCATCAGATTTGCGTATTGTCAGTGATTTCAGTGATACCATAAAAGGATCGATAGTCCTATTCACATGCTTTATTTTACCAACAGATTGACTTTGTCACATCTTATGTCAATACGAATATCAATTAATTTTGATATTCGGAATGTAACACGCACATCTGGAACTATTCCGGTCTATTGGAGTTTATATCCGCTTATCGTAGAAAGAGGAATTTGATTGTATTTTCGTTCGGTATGCTTGTTTACAATCTGACAAAAGAACGTTTCTCACGCACCACTGACTAAAGCTGTTTTTTAAATTTCCGGTGCTTTTTAAAATTCTATAGCAAAGTAGAAATATCTATCCGGTGCTTTTTAAAATTCTATAGTAAAGCAGAAATATGTAGTTATCACTTATTTTATTTTATTTGTTTATAATATTTTTTATATATTTAAAACTATATCATTCTAAATAATTTCATTTTTATTAAAACAAGTAGAAATTAAAATAACATTATCGTTTTTTTATCGTATATCGATTTTTTGTGTATCACGTTATACAATTGATTAAGATCTAAATATCTCTTTTAACATCGTATTTTCTTCGACAAAAATCAATACATTTAAAACGCTAAGAAAAATGTTTCTTTGTATGTGTGAACACTTACACAATATAAGCGATTTATATAAATGTTTTTGTAAAAATAGAGTTTCAACATATGCAGGTTATATAAAAATATCTGGCGTTATATTCACCAGATTTATTTTTGCAAGAGAAAAATGGCAAAATAGTGCTATACATAACGCGTGCCATGTTATATTCGTTAAATTAATTACATTTCATAAAAGAACGTGAAGAGAGAAAAGAGAATAGTGAAATAAAGTTTAAACGAGAAACGTTTCAAAGTGAGGTGACGAGTATGCAAAAAAAGCTGCAATATATAAAGCAATTTCAATGAAAGATTAAAAGGTGGCAAAGAGACGCGTATGCGAATTCTATGCGAATAGTATGAGATTTTTTTTATCGTCACTATAACAGTTTAATACAGCTATGAATGTTTTATTGTGCTCGGAGTCGGTTTTAAAGTCCTTTAATATTAAACGAAATGTAAACTCCACAACAAGCTTCTTATGTTAAATGACGTCTACTTTAAATTCATCTTAAATATAAATCGTCGACGAAAGATCAATCAAGAATCTCATCATTTTTCAAGTTTGATTTACGACAAGAAAACCCTTTTGCGAGTTTCGCATAAAAATTTTCGTCTTTTTCCATGAATCAGCGTTTCCTAATTTCCCCGGAGGATCTCATTAGCAGAATGAAGTGCGTAAAGGTGAAAGGTAATAAACCGAGAGAGACGACCATTCGTAAAATGTCAAACGTCGCAATAGAGATTATGTTATCGTTCATGTTGCCGATTTTCAATGCCGGATTACATTTCAAAAATATAACGCGCAATTATTTGTACACTTTGTTGGCATTTATCGGAAACGCAATCTTGTGGCCTTTGCTGATTTTACTGTGATTTAAAATAGAGAGAGGGAAAGAGAAAGAAAGAAAAGGATAGATGGAAAAAGAGGAAGAGTAATAAAAATAACAAAACATTTCTCACTACCTTCCGTCTGTCCCTATGGGCGGAGTACAGCACCCAGATTATGTACAAGACCATTATGATGGCGGGTATGCATACCCCCGCTATTGTGGACGCGCCTCGAAGAAGCAAATGATGCAGTCCGAGTAATGTAACTGCGAGAGCTGTTCCGCCTGCGACATACCTTCCGGTACGACGTCGTTCCTCCTGCCAACAGAAATGTTCCATGCGCATATTTTTTTTGAACACTTTTTCATGGATGAGAATTTATCTCGCATTTATCTCGTTGTTCCCCAACATTTAGTTCATTAAATCGTCTGTTTTGTGTCATGATGCATTTTATTTGTAGAAACAAACTACGTAGAAACATTGCCATTTGACTTATAAATTCAACAGCATTTATGAAATTATTTACATGAGAATTATTTTGAAGAAAATTGTTTCAAGTATTGCTTTATTCCTTTTATGTATATTCATTCAATTAACTCGAAATAAAATGAGAAATAGCACAAATTTAAAAGCTTTCACAATCGAATTTTCGATATAAATATTTCTATTGAAAAATTCTTAGAATGCTTTTAATAACAGAAAAATATGCTGAGAAAATCACTGGAATAAATGTATAGGCACGAAAGAATTCCAGTTTTAAAAAAGCAACATTAATTTAAACGCTATTTATAACATTTACATTTATATATGTTTGTATGTGTATAAAATTAAATAACAAAACTAAATTTTATTTTAATTATCAGACCTCGTGTATATAAGCGCTTGATTGCCCACTAGTAAACAATTAATGACAACTATTTAAACGATAAAACCTGCATTTGGATTTCAAGCAGATGCGCAACGAAACAAATTACGCGGGCCCGGCTTCGAGCACGTTTAACCCAGAATTCATTTATTTCACGTCGCCGGTTTTACGTGTGGTATCTGCGAACGACAAGTGCGAAGGACGATCCGAAATAGGCGAGGGGCATGCACATTAAATACTGACGCGCGATTGCGTCCAAAGTGGCAGATCCATTTTCATTTCACGTACTCGCTCGCGCACCCTTTAACGCCCTTTTATGTTTCGCGTTCTCTTTAACAAATCGCGCAGCTGTAACGGTTCACATTTTATGTAAATCTAGCCTAGCGATATGTGCAAACATCTCTACTATCATATTCAAATTATGCTTCCGCCGGATGCAGATATGCCGAACAGAACAGAGATAACGCGAGCGTTTTACTTCCCCAAGGCGTACGAACAGAAACGATATCATCGCAGTTAGAATAGTCGTAATGGAAACGCCTATATATGTATGGCATAGAATCTAAACGCTTTGCCTTGATCGACCATTCGATGCAAAATTTGCTGCACGTAACCACACAAGATGATATTATCTCACAGTTATCGCAGTGGAATCGCTATCGTTAAAGATATTCGTGTGGAAAACCAACCGATTGCGTGAGAGTATTAAGATTGTCCCTCGATGAAATCTCCGATCTAAGCGGCATGGCACTGACGGTGACATAAAATTTTCACACAAAAGTGAATCAGTTTGATTATACGTAGCACAATCTGTCGCCGAGTCATAAGATTGATCTTTACTTTTTCTGATAAATTCTTTTTCTCTCTTTTGCTCTGGGTCTCTGAGTATTATATATTAAAAATAAAGAACTATAGTTTCAAAACTTTGTCCTTCATTACTCCTGTACTGAATATTTAGTTGTAAAAATTTAATAACACTTAAAACTTTAGGTGTCAAAGAGATGCGAGATATAGAGAGAAAGTTTCTTCCTTTCCCGAGAATCTCCAAACAAGCTAACAAGCTGGAAAAATTTCACTATAAATGATATGCCATTAAGATATAAGAATTATGCTGGTAAAAGCAGCAAGTTAAGTTTGAATATCGAATTTAAAAAAGCAAAATAAAAATTGAATTTGAAAAAGAAAAAGAAAAATACGTAAAATATATTGAAATAATTAAGAAAATTATCAAGAATATTATATTTATATTTTATAAAAAAATAATATTTGTGAATTGATGATGATGCTAAATTAAACTATTAAAATCGATAATTGACGAATGTTATTTAAAAAATATTAATTGTTTTTATCGTATATTGTAAACAAATATGTTTATCTCATAGCATTTTCAATTTTTTGCATTAAATTTTCGATCGAATTATTTTGTGAGATTATCTCTTTGTCACGTCATCTTAATTATACGCAAAAATCGACAAAAATTCAAATCATTAAATCTCATATACAAAATCTCATTCAAATCGTAGTTGCGATTAATAATTTAACTACGTTATTTTCTTCTTTTTATAATACGATTACATCGTTGAACAATTGTTACAGCCAAAATTAGTTCCCAGCGCTTTTAATTCTCGCTAATTGTGCGAGCTGTGGATAGCAGAATTTTATTCGCAGATTTATGAATGTTGTTAAGGTAGAATTAAAGCGGCTATGTTCGTAGCGCAGTGAGTTTCAAGTCGCGATTAATTAAACGAAAAAGGAGCCACCGAAGGGTGGTCGCTTTTTCCATCCGGAAAATATTCTGCCGAGTTAACGATCGCGTAACGTTCGTGCAAATTCCGTAATTCGCAATTAATCCGAATGAAACGTGAATAAAACCATCATACATCATTGCACCGTGAAATTTCAATCGCGTTTTTGAGCTCGTTAATAAAAAGCTAATTATTCTTCGTATTCGTACACGATCGACGCACCAACACACGCGTTAACGCAAAAATATTCACTTCTACAAAAAATCGATCGAGAGTGATCAGAGGAAGATAATCTTTCTGGTCAATAATCGCGCGATTCGCGAATCGACTTTGCGGAGAGACTTTACGTAGAAAGCTTGTTCGCTCCCTCCGCTTCGAACGGGTTTATGTATCATCGGTTGTGGTTTCAAGAGCGGAACAGCCTACGCATTTACATTACTGGCACAATATAAGCCAGGCAGCGTGCTGGCATAATAAACAAAAAACACGATGAGCCAATACACCCACATACCGCCACCATAAATGATGGTGCGTTTAGCACGAGCAACGAATTGAAGAGCACGAAGTTTTTGCCAAAATTAGATTATCCTTTCCGTGGATGCTTTGCGGCTGCGTCCAGAGAACGACCGAGCTAGAAATCAGATACATTTGAAGAAATATGCTTAGCAGAAAAACAAGACTAAATTTATTTGTAGATCAATATTGCAATTCAAGAAATCCTCAGAAAACTTCGCCTTTAACTTTGTTCCAAATAACATTGCTTCCGAAATTTGTTACAATAATCTAAAAATATCTTTTATATAATATTGTATTCGTCTAAGTATTGTTTTTGTCTAAGCATATAGCTTTTATATAGTTAAATTTAATGACTGATAAAAGCAGACAAGATTGTTCAAGCTTTAATATCAATAAAATAACTAGATGCATGGTACTAATTGTATTAACTTATTTCTCATAGAAATTTAAAAATCTTTGAATCTGTCTCTCAATATAATTTATTCCATTTCTGATGAACGATTGTTCCACCATCAAAAGCTTTTTAGGAAGGGAATCCGTACATTATTTGTATATTTATATTACTTCTGTAATTTTAAGTTTTCGAATGTTATTTAAGGATTCATCATTTCGACATTATACGTGTTGGCTTATCAAAAATATTAAACAATTTTTTTTAACTTAAAAATTATTTAATATTTCATGAAATATCTAACTTGTTGATTTATTCTCGATTGATTTATGTTATTTAAGCTTCTTTTAAGAATCTCTAAACGACTTTTCTGATTTATGCCATTTGATTTAAGCATTCTGATTTAAGCTTTCTCTAAGAATTTCACAAGATTCTTCTAATTATAATGGCTTTATTTTCACACAGCTGTTTCCGTTTCTTTTTTATTTTCCTTCTTTTTCAGCAATAGCATAAAGGCTAAAAGTATTTTACGCATTCTACGCTTATCCTTAGGTGCGTATATAGAGTACGAATCGCACTAGCATACCAATCACAATAGAAATAATTGAGGCATAATCAATTCCGCTCACGTTCACGGTTTTCAATCGGACGGGGTCATTTGCCGAGGGAAAATAGTTCTCTCTAGGCACGTTACATTAGGTTTATACACAATCGAAATGCTCACCACAATATAAATGACCTTAATAATTCTTCTTTGTGTAATTTGTAAGATCTGGTTGATGAAAATCGACTATTTTCAATTAAAAGAGCAGAAGCTGTAGACTTGATTAATTATTCAAAAAATGATAATTATTATAATTAAATATAAGAATAAATATAAGATTAAAACTTTTTTCGTTATTTACATAATAAATTCACAGTGTTTGAGAAACTAAAGCTTATAGCAATATGTGTGTTATATAGATTTATAGTAAAACCTGAAAATACGTGTGATTTTGTGCTATCATTTCTGCAATATGCAAAGACAGAGAAAATGCAATAATTTATAACTCTTAATATATATATATTTGAGAAACAATTGGGATTATTGGGATTCGGATTACTGTGAATTCGCAGCAGTTTGCATTGTGTTTAATTGAAGAATCAATTTTGATTAGAATTCGATTTTGTATTGATCGTTCTCGACAAAATCAAAATAAACGAATTATTCCCTTCTGGAACCATGAAAGATAAATTTGCATAGTAGATTCCGGTGTGATTCATACATATAAAGTTCATGATTATATCAATAATAAGATTATATTCCGTGTTTCTGCACACACATCTACATAACTGATTAGTTAAAGTTTCGCGGCAAAAACAAATTATCTTGCATTCTTGTTGATAATTCTTCACGAAGGGAGAGACACGAGTGACTAGTTAAATGGTAAATGACTTCTATTAACGTTACGATTAAGCAACTTTGCAGAATTTTGTGCTCAAGTAGCTTCAGTAATTGCCACTGTTTGCCAAGTAGCTTCAGTAATTGCCACATTTTGCTACTGAGTTGAACTTTATTCGTGAAATCTCAAGCTTCGCACAAGTATAATTTTCACATACCGCATAATTTTAAGTTCTCAACGCTACAAAATCTTGAGAATCACGATTATATTTTTCATGTCGCGTAACTTTCTGCATCAATCACCAACCTGCCTGCAATATACAAAATGTTACAGACCTGCCTATCTATTCTTTTTTCTCAATATATTTTTTTTTTAAAAGTAATACTAAATAATTTTATGCTATAAACGATTAAAAATGCGCCATAAAAAGAAAGTTTTGGTCATTAAATTCTAAGTTACAAATAGATATTTTTTTTAAATATAAAATAAATAAGAGAGAGAGGGAGAGAGAGATTTTAATTATAACCTTGGTTGGCAAGATATTTAATGTTGAGTTACAGTGTTATAATATCTGTTACATTTTCTTTAGAATAAATTATAACAAAGACAACTGAATTCTAAGTCATTAAAATATATATATATATATATATATATATATATATATATATATAATTATAATGGCTCTAAATAAGTTTTAAAATATTTTATATAAAATGTCAAAAAGTGTTGCAACAAATAATATAATAGAACTGTTTTCCTAATACCACCTATACTAATCAAGAAATACATCAAGAAATTTTCTAATATTGTATTTTCTTAAGGTTTGTAGATAAGTAATCGCAATACTTTTCATTATGAAACTATACCATTCTCTTGAAACGATCGCCTGCGACGACAATGGTGGATTAAAAACGTAATATCGACGGCCCAATCTAGTTTTACAGAAATCGTCCATTTTTACAAAAGAGGCAATTAAAAGAAGGAAACTGGGGGAAATTGGTTCGCACTCGGATTGTCTTCGCCCACGGAAATACGTGCATTCAAGTTATTTCTTGGCATGACTGTCGGACCATGAATCGGCCGTACAGAGCACGAGATAATCTCTCTCAGTCTGATAAGCATCAGAAGATTAACGAAGCATTTATTCGCCCAAAACAAATATCCACCAATAGTCACCGAGGACATCAACTCAAAACTTGCGCGATTACAAACAGCGTTACAAACGTAAATTATGGAGCAATGTTCCCTGTCATATTGAAACAAAGTTTATCTCGGAATTGTTTCGCACAGAGACTAAATAGAATGAAACAGAAAATGAAACGAATTTGAATGACATTTAATTAATTGCAAGATAGATATTTAAAATAATTGTAACCGATAATAATAACCGATATAATTGAACCGATGATTATTTGAAAATATTTTTCATTTCATTTTCGTCATTATATGTATATATATATATATATATATATATATATATATATATATATGTTAAAATTAAATGTTAAATATCATCAAGATGCATATATATGATTATATAATAATTTTCTAATATACAATTCCAATAAATTTTCAAAAACAGGAACAATTGTAATAAAATTTGTTTATTCAAGAAATGGATTTTTAGTTAAATAGTAAGTTGGCATGATAAAAGTAAAAAAAAATAGGATTACAATTCCAAATTCTTTGAAAATCGTTTGTAAAAAGATAAGTGAAAAATATATTTTCCGCGACATCGGATTTCCTCTCATTCACGAATAATGGCCTCGTTTATTTTACGATGGACAATATGCTTGGCTAAATTGCGAAACGTATGCTTTTTATCAGCTAATGCATCGTAAAACTGACATCGTTCTATAATCTTAGTGAAATTATTCTATAAACAGAAGCTTTTCTAAAGAAGAAAGGCCAGATATATTTTAGAGCAGTAATTGATTGATTGATACGTAATTATTCGAATGATGGATGAACGTGCATGTAATTAATACAATTTTACATACAATATTTCTTATAATATTTACATGAACGTTTTTTTTATTCAAATAGAAAGTTAGGAATGAAAATTTCTATTTAATTATTTATTTGTTTATAATTGACAATTCAATTCGATTATTTTTCTGTTTAGAATTGGTATTATTTATAATAATCTTGCTTTGACGAATTTCTGCTATAAAGCAAATAACAAAATATAAAATTTATATTGGCTCTTATTTAATCGATAGTGCTACGCGAATTTGAAATTCTAAAATCACGTAAATATATAATTTTTTATCTTACACAAATTCTGAAAATGTATTTTTTTAATGTATGTTATTAATTGAATAATATTTAATTATATATATATATATATATATATATATATATATATATGTATAAAATATAAAATTATATATTCACAGTTATCGTATTTATTAACAATCAGTAGTATGGCTTACTATAAACTGACTGCTTACTGCAGAGAGAAGACTGAGAGATATCATGGCCTGTTTTTAGGTGATCCCTGAAAGCGATACTCCCTCTATGAACATTAAAAATGTGAACATAAACTACAAAGTCAATGTCCATGAAAGTTCTCAGAGGGTAATATATAATGTACACAATTTCTGGTTTCGTTCCGTGCTATATGCACGAAATGCCAATAGCACCAGAGTATAATAAGACACTTATGTATATAAATTGATAGTAAATAAATTATTCAATCGCCAAAGGTACCGTAATATTCAAAGATAAAATTTATTATTACTTTAGACGGCACACTTTATAATTGATTCCGATATAAAACCTTTTGTTATTTTTTATCACATCATCACATTTTTGCTAAAGATGGCCCAAAAATAGGGTCGAAACGTTCGCTAACTTTTCTTTATAATTTGTTCCATACTTATTTGATTGTATAATAAATAATTGTGTTATAAGATCGACACTTGACTCGTATTGTCATTAAAACCTGATTTGTTTAATTTTATATTTCGAGTTTTATATTTTTTTTATTAATTATAATTATTGAAATATTTTTTAATCTGTTTTCCCTTATTTAAACCTACATTTCCTAATTCTTTAAAAGATAC